GAAGTTGTTGATCGACTTCAATGCCAGAGTGTGGAGCAAATCCTAAGCTGCTCCTTGCAAGGTCACGATGAACACCTTGCACATCGATGCATCATCGCCATTGTAGAGTATCATAATACTCCTAAAATACTTTAAATGGCTTTCGGGATCAGAATCCCCTTTGAACGATGTGAGGGAAGGTGTTGTAAACCGCCTTGGTGGAGTCGCCTGCTCAATCTTATTAGTGAACGATGAGGTGTTTATCTAGTCTACTTATAAGTCTCCTCCAACCTTTAGGTTCCAGAGTCACTCGTTCACCAGCCTCTCGATATCCTCCAATAGCAAAGGTTGAGGTTTGCGTTGAGGATGTCCCTGGCACCAGCATCACTAGATAACGTCCACTTTGCCAAAGGGGTTGTTCTCGACGGGTGTCCTGCCAATGCGGCATGTTAGTGGGACGAGCTTGTGATTGGAGTCACATGGCGCGTGAACTAGAATATGCCCTTTTGGTATAATCCAATAAGTGTTTTCCTTCACGTTCTTGGGGATGAGGGCTTTGGTGTTGATCTCCTTGTTAGCCTAACCTTGAGTGGACGCTTATAAGGCCAGCTGCCATCTCTTGGAAAAATTAATATCATGCTTGTTACTCCCACATTTAAAATTATTTCAAGAAACTGATCAAATTCATTCCATTGAAAGGATTACAATAGTACAATTCAATCTTGCATAAAGAAAAAGACAATTGAATCAACTATATATATATATATATATAGATATATAAAGGGATTTATAGTGTAACAAATTAAAAAATTAGTTTCACAGGCAAGAAACCAAAAGAATCTGGTTAAAATAAAAGACCCTACTCATTATATGTATGCACTAAGAACCTTGGCTAATACATGAATTGGAGGAGCCCGTTTGTCACTTTCTAGAGGTGCTTGCGCCATGTCCACATTGCTGACTTCTAGTTTTGTCGTGTTAACCTTAACAAGTGCAAAGCGAAGTTGGGATTTACCACTAATTGACCAGAGCTGCACTCTGTCATTGAACTTCTGCAGTGTATTTACTTTAGTAGTTGAGAAAATGTGTTTGTTTGTCCACTTTGGGGAGCTTGTTTGCCCATTTTGGCTACTTCTAATGCTTGCACTAGGTCCAATTTGTTAAGCTTTCATTTTTGTGGTGCTAGCTTTAACAAGTGCAAAGGCAAGCTTCTTGGACTCATCCTGGAATGACTATAATTGCATTGTGTCGTCAGTCTTCAGTCTTTTTGTACTGGCAATTTCCTTTCAACCTGAAACCAAAATGTACACAATATTGTCTCCCATAGTCCATTTCTTGAGGCGTAAAATGTGCACCTAAATAGATGAATCCAATACTTTAACATGGATACCAGTAAGCCACTTTTGGTTATGACCATAATGTAGCTTCAACTCAGGCATCAATTTCTCCACGGATGTCCTTGACTCGCTAGCATGTTGATTTGCCTGTTTGTGGCTCACACCTCACCTGCCACCTCCAGCACGATACTCACTAATGCATTTGTCCATCCCTCTTTCCTCACTAACCGATCTAAATCCAAAGTCTTGGATCAAGTCAATCTAGTCAAGGAGCTGACCAACCAATTTGTTTTAGTCCTCAAACCTTTTGGTTAACGCGTCAACCTTGTGATTGAGATCTACGTGATTCTTTGGATCAGTAGGAGCAGTTGGGATAACATCGAGATGCATGTGAACTAAGGCCTCAAGGGAAGTATGAACGGGTACCATTGTTGTGGTACGTGGAGGCATAGGAAGGTGTGGCATCACCTGCCTTAGGTTCAGCTCGGCCATGGTGATAACACCAGGATAGCCGAGGAAGGTGGATGCATCATGGGTCGTTGCAGTTCTGCCGTGGGCAACAATATCGCCAAGGGCCACAAGAGCATTGTGGGTAGTATAATAGTCAAAAGTAGCCGCGTCGTGGAAGACGGAACTGATGTGAGAGAGAATTATGGCCTTGGCCATGGGGCTGCGATGTGGATTCTCGGAGCCGGTAGTGGGACGATGAGGTGGACCAGTGGTTTCGGTCATGGGGCATCGATGTGGATTGGTGGTTTCAATAATGGGGCCATGAGGATGGTGGCTCGAACCCTTACCATGTGAATGGCTCGGCTTCGTACCACGTGGATGACTCGAACTTGTAGTGGAGTTGTTGGTCGCGACAACCTTGCTCCTTGTGACAACACCTCATACCATGAAGATTTGAAGGTTTTAGATGAAATCAGTTGATGGAAAGGAAACAGATTTCCCTTGATTTAGATTCGAGAGCCTCGCTTTGAGTATAACTCGAATCTCTCAGTGAAAGCACAACTTTGTTTGTGCAAATGTTCTCCGCGGGAATATTTGAAGAAGATCCTTGCGTCCTTTGAATGAATTCCTCCAAGCACCCTGCAAAGCAAATGAGGTCAATTGGAGAACACCGATGTAGTGTTGGCAAAGAGCCCTCTGATGCCTAAGTCAGAATATGGTCTCAAGAAGATACAAATATTTCTAAAAGGAAATGAGTGTTTTCTCTTTGGAAATAGAGTGGGCGGAGAGAGAGAGAGAGAGAGAGAGAGAGAGAGAGAGAGCGTGTGTGTGTGTGGGTGCGTGCGCTTAGCTGGGCATTTATATTGTTTTTTAAGTGTGTTTATGGGAGAATAATTCATTTTTAAGGGAATTATTCTTTTCCATAAATAAGGAGATTGGGTAAATCAAGAAGATTTAATGGAAATAGAATCCTTGATTTATGGAGTATCCCTATATTAAATCTTGATAATTGGGCAATTAAATGGGAATTTAATTGACACAATTATTTGACTTAAGGGATATTCCAATATCCGTGTGGCATCTCTTGAATGGTTGCCAAAATCCATGTTCTCATAATGACGGTGTGAAAAAAATAAACATGTTTAATCAAAATCTCAATAATGATTGTGATAACAATGACATGATGACAATAACAGTAGGGGTGATGGTTTGTCATTTATTTCTTAAAATTTCATTATATAAGTAGAAAGTTTGGTCCAAAATTTCATTTGCAAGTCATCTCATTTCTTTTAAAATGATTTTTTTTAATCAAAGAAAAACTTTATTAGATAAACTTCAATAGTATAGTCAAAGACATCGACATGACATTTGAAGCATCAATCCCAAGAGGGCAACAAACTAACATGCTAAAAACAAACTAAAGTGGACAAAAGCCGTACTAAAACCACTAGCTCATATTACTTCAATTAAGCATAATTCCAAACAAAGCCCACAAACCCAACATAATCGAAACCCCACAGCAACTTAGGAGCCTAAATGAACCCCACCACTACCACCACCTGAAAAAGCATCATCGCAACCAAACCTACCACCACATAAAATCTTGAAGCAAAAACAAAATTCGTAGTATATCTAGGGAAAACATGGTTTCTAACAATCTACTTGTGTATAAGAGTAAATGCATAAACCAAAACAACAATCGTATCAAAGAACAATTGGGTGATTTGCAACAAACTCTGTAAAAAATGATGTATAACGAAATTTATAGAACATGAGCAGTGTTAGAGAGCAAATTTTGGGAGAATGATTTGACAAAAATAGGTGATGAGGAACTTCAATTTGAGCATGGGTCAGTAGAAATCACCACAAGGGGCTTCTTATTCAAAACACCCTAATGAACTTATTCACTAACCCATAATAAAAAGACAATAAAAGAGAAGGAGGAAGAGGAGTAGTAACGCTTCTTACTCCTCCCCCTCTATAGAGTTTTTCTTTAGGACCTACAGAGGGAGAGAGCAGCTAGAGTTCTAGGATTAATTTCTTTTAAAATCATTTTAAAGTCATTTTATGATTTCGTAAATCTCATTTGAGTTTCAAAAGTAAATACTTTAATGACAAGGGATTTACCAACTAGCTTTTACAATTGTGCATTAAGTGCCAGTTTGACATTGCTTATTTGGGGTGATAAGTGATTTTTTAAAAATTTTGAGGAGCCCAACCCGTTTGGTAAACTATGAGAAAATCACTTATTGTTAAAAATTGCTGTGAGAGAAAGCTATAAGGAAAAGCAGCTAATGAGGTGCTTTCATTTTCTGATTATGCAGAAATCAGTTTCGAAGAGGCGTTGGGTTTAATAATTGTGCGGCAATCATTTTTTGATTATGCATAAAATCAATACCAACAATACTTTTAACAAAAATTTTACCAAACGCCAAACTGTTTTATCTCACAGCTGATTTCTCTCACAGCAAATCTGATAGCGATTATTCTCACAGCATAGCAATGCCAAACTGGCCCTAAAAAAGAAGAAGAAGATTTTAGATTATATCTTAATATCTTTTCTCAATCATGAGAAATTATAGTATGGTATTGAGGTACGTCGCGTGATATAATTTGTGTACATGTTATAATATTAGTGGACGACATGATTAATATTTCTCATATTAGAATAATATAAATAAATATTCACTTATATTAAATACATGTTCAAATTATATCACATGGTCATACTCCCTCATCCAATGCCCCCAACCATGTAATAGAAAGTTTTGGATGGAAATGTAATTACAATGTAGTAATGTTGTTTTTATTTATTTATTTATTTATATTTTGCGAAAGAGGAATTCATTGATAACTTGTATCATCTTGTACAATTGGCTTCATGCCTTGCTAGAAGATGAGCTACTTGATTGCGCTCCAAAACATCATCAAATTGTTGCAAACTCTTCTTAATATTATCAATGAGATGCCCAAGACTCTTCCTCACCATTCTTTAAGTCATTTTACCACTGCTTGTGAATCAGACTCAACCAGTATAGAAGAAAAGCTAGCATCCCGAGCAAACTTCACCCCGAATTGAAGTTCCATGATCTCTGCATGTTTAGGGGAGGTAATTTTTTTGGTCAATTAAAAAAAAAATATTGTGGTTTTTTTTTGGCCAAAATTATTATGGTTGACTCTTGAAAGAAAAAAGAAAAACTTGACCAATAGAAAAAACTTTGACTAAAACATCAGAACTCATTTGACAAATGCTGGATAATCCCGGCGTAGTGTAGATTACAAAGCGTTCAACCGAAGCAAGCAATGGTCTTCAGAGAGTAATTCGTTCCTAGATTTCCCCCTTTTTGCTGCCACACAGACGCACGCTCCCCCTCGCTCTCTCTCTCTCTAACCGACGCCATGGCTGCCGCGATGAAGATTGTATTCGGACTGCTAACGTTTGTCACAGTCGGCATGATTATAGGTAAAACCATATCATCAAAGAAATTTCTATTATCTTGATCATATACATACATGTACATGTATATACATTACATTATATTGATTTGTGTATATGTTGATTCTACGATTATATCTCGTTTCTATTTAACCAGAAAACTGTAGGAGTCGAAGAGGAAGTTTGAATCTTGGTCCAATGTTCTTTCTATCCTTGACTTTCCTTTGGTTTCTCGAAAACCAAACAGAAAGCTCCTATCTGGATTTGATCCGGGTATTGGATATTAGGTTCGGAATCAAACTTATGTAATGCAGATTCATAACTTTAGGAATGACCAACACCGCTATTAGGTTCATTGGACTTGGATTCTTAGGGCATATCATAAGGGCTCTTGGTAGGAATAATTAAAAATTTTTTAAACAGGAATTTGAAATAACAGAGAGACATGTGGGCCAATGGCACTACACCCTGCCCTAGTACTACGGATCACACAGAGCACAGAGAAGGTGTAGGCATGGGGCTGCGGTCTGGGGAATTTCCGGCCATTCCAATATCAACTGTCTTCCTTGCCTCTTTTGAAAACCTGTAGAGACTCCTGGATCAACCTGGAGACCTTAAGAGAGAATTATTATCTAAAAACAAACCCCACTACTATTACTGCTTATGCTTTACTCTCATATAATACATGCAAAGAAAGAATTCTTTGTTCTTGGGTATAATGTATGACTATTTTTAGCTATCCTCCTCTTTTTTTCCAGGTTAAATGGTTGGTGGTTTCTAACAAGCTGTTAGTTTGACATTACATTTGAATGATTTTAAATTACTTTATTTTCAATAAGCGAGCATCTTCTGATTGTTTTTTTTGAATCGCAGGTGCTTTGTTTCAATTGGCATTTATACGAAGATTGGAAGAGTCATATGGTATCTTGCAATTGATTAAATTTCATACACAAATATATTATCTTGTAATTCCCCTCATACTTGCACGTTTCAGCTCATGGTTGGGACTTTGTTAGACTTTTTTCTTTTTTGACATATCTTTCTTTCTATACTAAGTAGAAGAGCTCTTGACAGATGCATATGGTGAAGTTCTGACTCATATATGTTAGATTTTTCTGGTTCTCTTTTTCCTCTTTGCAAACCTTAACATGGATCAGACTTTTTAGTCAGATTGAAACAGTCTTTTTGGCAGAACAATGGGCATCCTTTTCATCTATTTATATCATTTTTCTTTGTAAAACAGAATTTTCAAACTGGGCCAGGCATTTTTAAGAGCTGATCCATTGAATTGTGGACTAGTGATGCAACTCTTAACACAGTTAAGCCATTTAATTTTGGATAGAGTTTCATAAAAAATAATACAATTAAAGGAGATTCAGGATAATTAAGATTCAAGTATGTACAAATTTTATGGTATTCCTTGGCATCAAACTAAATCATTTAGAGATATATCCACTGCATGCTTTTGAGTGAAATTATGTTATCTTATTCAAACCAGCAATAGTTGAAAATAATTGGCCATTAAGATTCTAGAGTCATAGAAGCTATCATACGTGAGCCTGCAAGAGTATAAAACCTGGTTCGTGTGTAACATGGCGTTGAACCTTGATTGAGGGAAATGAATAATGTCTGAAGAAAATTCGTTTATCTTTAGTTTATGTATTTAAAAAAAAGATCTGATTTGGATCTTCTTTTAATTCTACTAATTTGAATGTTCTTCTGGCATGCTTTTATTCTGTTTGTAAATGTCCCTTTTCCACCTTTACTATGCTACACATCTTTGGAAGTATAATTTTCTTCATTGATTGAATATTCTGTGGGGTTTTCCTTCTTTGTTTGGTCTATTTTGACAGAAATTGAGCTGTTACATTTAGTTGAGTAAATTGTGCAATCTTCCATTTTTTTAGGACTTTTTATTGTTGATTGAATCATTGAGTCTAAGACATTTTCTTTGTAATGCTTTATTCTTGTAAGGTGATATCATATTTCTTTTTATTGTTATGTTGTTTGATGATTTTATATCATGCTTATTTTGTTGTTATTCTATCACATGATTTATCTTTTTTTAAATTGGTCCTTTCTAGGCTCCGAGTTTCCGTCTCCTAGAAGAGTGCGTAGAAGTCTAAATGATGGCTATCTCGAGTTGCCCAGAGGTTGGTATGGTTCTTATCAAGTTTTGTTTGGTAGATAGATATACCACCACATTTGTTCCTTATTTGAGTTTTGAATTAGAAAATAATAATTTTAGTCAATCTTTTATTTTCATAATTTATATTATGATTCAGCTGCATTTAGGGTATTCATTACGATATGGCATTCAGCACCAAAGGAAAGGTTGTTGAGATAACTCTTTGTGTGGTCGAATATGACCTCTTGAATTTCTTGTGGATTTCTTTTTCTTCACTGTATATTCTTCTTTCTTTACAGTTTTGAGATCTTGTATACTTGGACAATGCACCCCTGACCTTTCTAAATAAAGCTGTTTAGTTATAAAAAGAAAAAAAAAGAAAAGTGGACGTAGGTGAGGACTTGATATTTACATTGTCTTAAAAATGTTTGACTTTGTTTTATTGCAGTTATATTTTTTCTGTAGACACAACTTTATAATGCCAAGGAAAAAACCTAATGACACAATATCATGGAGTTTATGGGATTGATATTAGGGTTGTTAGGCTCTGTAACAAGGACATGGGGAGGCTAAGGAGATTTTTTTAGTTTTTTTAATGAGAATTTATTCTTAGGTTTTGAATTTTATTAGTAAAACTAAAAATGAAAACCAGAAAGACATATTGGGCAATTAAAAAATAACGAGTGTAACTGAGGTTCTTTTCTTTTTGTTTTTTTTTTTCCGTAGTATAGTACTTCAATTTTATTCACAAAATAAGGAAAAAGACCAAGGTGTCCTATACAATTACAATCCAAGTCCAAGGCTTTCCTAAAACGTGAAAACAAACTAAAAAGAAGGTTCCCTGTTACCGAAAAGACATGGTGTGCACAGTGAAGCACCTGAAGTACTCGAATTAGAACTCTTTTAAAATTGAAAAGAAAAAAGGTATCCCAATTGGAACTTCCACCTTCTTCAAAATGTGAAGATTCTGATTGGGAGAGGATCATGGAAAGACATTTCCCTTGGGTTGGATCAGCGTTTTAAAACACTTGTTCATAAAATGAATATACTTTTCTTCTTGTGCCCTTCATCACAAAGTTTTGCGTATGTATGTATGAAGAGGAGCTTGAAGCTCGAATTCAGGAGTTAGTATTTGACACTGTTTTGACTCATTGTTTATGGTAGGTGTTCCATTTATTATATTTATGCATGATGTCTTCTTTTCTGTTCTTGAAATTTTAATTAGAGTTATCACATGCACAATAGAATACAGTGATTTACAAGTAATGAATAAAATGTTTTTAAATGTCTCTGAGTTTCTAGTATTCCAGTTGTTCCTGGATTAGAAGAAGCTTGAGAAAAGATCATTATGGTGTTGCAAACATTTTCCCTTATCTAATTTGCTTTTCTTCTGTTTTGAATTCTCAGGTTCTCATTGGAACAATGACAAAGAAGCAAAAATTTTACGGCTTGGATATGTATGCTTGCATATATAGCTTTATTTTTCGTTTCAAGTCTTTAAGATGATCCCATGTCTGTTGGAAAAAGTATCATGCACCATTTGACATAAAGGACAATGAAAATTGGATGTTTTTCTAGAGAATGAAAAATTATTAATTAGAGACCTGAAATCCATGATGATTTAAATTTCTGGGATGTTTTGAAGTATGATCGTAATATCTCTTTAGTTTCCAATAACAAAGAAACAAAATAAGAAAAGAACCTACACATAAGTCATCTTATTCTAGTAACAGGGAAGATAAAATACGTAAGTTCCCTTGATATAGCACAATACAAAAGAATATATATACTCCAGACTGTATATTAGCCTATGTGGTTCTGTTAAAAGATTTTTCTTTTTTTTTGAAAAGGAGAAATTTTATTTCATAAAAAAACGATATAGTGGTTCTGTTAAAAGATCAATGCAGGGCTTGTGGTTATTCTGTGTTCTTATGCTTGGTACTTTTTCTTTTTAATGTTTCTGCTCAAGGCTACAACTGGGTGAGTTTGATAGAAAGTATAGAAAGGGCTTTTATTTTATTATTGGATGTGACTTCCAGAAAACTGTGACTCTCTCTCTCTCTCTCTCTCTCTCTCTCTCTGTGCATACAAACATGAAGATGTTCTAATTTATCTCGTTGTAATTTTTAAACTCATAATTTGCCCTTTCTATGCTTTCCCACAAGAATTACCTATTTCCACTTTTAGAACACCAGCTTATATCTTTACATCCCTTTTGGTTGAGAAAAGTGACGATGGAGATGTTTTTATGGTTGTTCAGTGCTTAAGTTGAATTTGATTTTTCTTTCTTTATCCTGTCAATGTAGGTCCAACCTGAAGTAATTAGCTGGTCCCCTCGAATAATTGTACTTCATAACTTCTTGAGCATGGAGGTATGTTTATGTCATATAATAGCATCACCCTCATCTTGTTGGCTTATTTTTGCTTAACTCTTACAGTATTCTTTACGAGCTTGAACTAATTTTCTGTTTAAAATATGATACTACTGATAATATAAAGTGCCAAAAAATAAATCCCAAACACTGTCACGTACTGAACTTACCAAGCTGAAAAATGGTTGGTATATTGGAAAATTGAAGCATGGAATTCAAAATAAATTATTTGGAATAATAAGTACAAACCCATAACATCTATGTCTGTCTGAATGTATTCAGAACAACCTGCTTATGTGGAAGTATGACTTGTGAATTCGTGATAGATTAGTGGGTTAGCCTTTACACTTGTGAAATGACATTTGATGTAGGATACTTTTACAGCGTGCTTGACTTTAGAGGTTACTCTAATAATTTAATAGCAAAAGGGATTGATGAAATTAAATTAATCTTTCAAAATAAAATATTCAGCATGAAATTGTAAATTAAGCTTACTAGGGATTTATAATGAGAAATGAGAAACGGGTGGTTTTCACTAACTTAAAATTTACTAGCTGAGTGCAAGGATGAATATATTGGCAATACAGATATTATTGGGCCTTCAATTTACGGATATTTCTAGGGATATATCGATGTCGTTTTAGGTATTTGGGAAAATCGACAAAAAAGACAGATATTGGCTTAAAAACAAGGAATTTTGAAGTGAAACTTTCATAGATATTAAGCACATTATCAATGAATGTATTGAACAAATAAAATTCAAAATTTACTAAGTATAAGATATGCATATGATGAAATCTATCTGTATATAATGCGCGATGAAAATCTTGAAAGTAAATACAATTAGACTTAACACAACAATGACAACATTATTCAAACATAACCCAACCCAACCCATATACATTACCCAACATTATATTACAAGAGTGCGACTTAATGATAAAGGAAATGAGAGATAGAAGATTAGGTGAAAAATAAAATCAAACACACAAGAAACCGAGCAACCAGAGAGAGGAGAGAATGAGCCAAAGATAGCCGAAATGACTGAGAAGAGAAGAAAGGAGAAGCTACTAAGTATTAGAGCTTGGTTTTTGACAATGATTCCGTGGCTGGGATCTATGATTACTTTCAAAACTGAAGACAAATTTCTGGGTTACTTGTCTGGTATCGGGAAATATCGGTAAATATCAAGGATATCGGGGATATATCGCCGATAAGGGGAAAGAAATAGGCTTACCCCCCTGAATCTGTATCAACACCTAAAAAAAGGGATATAGCGGGATATCAGCCGATATTTTCATCTTTGACAGAGTGTCACTCTTTGGGCCATGTTGGTCTACTGGATTTTTAAAATGCTTTCTTTCCTTTTAGCTGCTATTTTTCTTTTCCTAGTGAACTAGAGGGGTAAGTAAATATTTTTCTGCTTTTTCAAATAAACAAAAAAGGTAAGTTCAGTTGATGCAATCCAATCAAGTGCTGGTATGTTTCTAGAAAAGATCTATAATGATTTTGGTGAGCCAGAAAAATTAGCAAGAGTCTAGTGGAAAACTGAGTTCATAGTACCAGAAGTGTAGTGGCCCTGCAGAGATGTCGGCGAAGCTTCCAGATTGCAGCAATAAATCTTAGATGATTATGATGTTTAATTTGGACTTATCTATCTTCTATCTTGCTTCATTTATCTCTCTCCCCTTTCCGCTCAAATTCAAAATCAGTAGACAATGGATAATTTCTGATCTTGAAATACAAAGTTGCTATGCCCTACTTCTGATAGAAGTTTGCACATTTGCTTAATAATCTTAAGCTTTCAAATGCTGAGTGGTCAATATTGTTTGCAAGCACATGTCAAATTGATTCTGCAGGTGCATTTATGAAAGCTCTTGCATTATTCTTGAACTGTTCTAAGCTGAAAAAGAAGTTACAGGATATATTTATGGTCATTGCAGGAATGTGACTATCTTAGAGCTACTGCCTCCCCTCGCCTTCAAGTATCCACTGTAGTGGACACCAAAACGGGAAAGGTACGTATGATACCCTACTTATTATCTTACACTTCAAGTATCAGTCAACTCTTTGATGGATCTTAGCGCATTTTATGCAATGCGTTAAGAAAATGCTTTGATATTGTTACTTAGAAATTTTTTTTGGCAATTTAACACCCAAACTTCATTTTTGGTGGGAATCTACCACCTCCATCCCTTTCCATCCAAAATTTTGGTAAGTGATTATACTAAGAACACCCAAGTGATTTGAACTCTCAGAAGAATTTTTACACATCTCGCACCAGTGAGGTGTGAGACACCAGTAAGATCTTCTCCTCTGAACCATATAACAAGTACTCACCTTCCCATGAGCAATAACCGAAGCTAACACCAGTACCTTAGGAGGTACTTTGGCCTTCCGAATAAGATATTTCGCCCCAGTAAAATCTTTCCTTATTATTTAATAAAATTTGTTAGTTGGATGAGAACCTGATTATACAGGTCCTTACTTTTGGTCAACAAGATAGCACTAGCAGAGTGACCTAATTATTCTTATGAATTTGGTATCTTTAGTATACCAAATTATTTTGAGAAGTACTCAATTTCCCACATGGGTCTCATCAAATTGTAATTGAGTACAAGAAATATTATTCTTCTTCTTTTCCAGTTAAGTGCATTATTGATCATATTATGTATAATTTCTTTCAGGGAATAAAAAGTAGTGTTCGTACAAGCTCTGGTATGTTCTTGAGTCATGAAGAGAAAAAGTACCCGAGGATACAGGTTAGTTTTTGTTTTGATTTCAATTCTCTTCCATTTTACAGGTTAGTTTTGTTTTGAGTTCAATTCTCTTCCATTTTACATTCAGCTTCATATTTATACTGATTCAGAAGATACAATCTTTTTTTCCAGTAAAACAGCAAACAGAATTCCATCTAACTCTCCTTATTTTCTCTTCCTTATTAGGCAATTGAAAAGCGTATTTCTGTCTATTCTCAAGTACCAGTAGAAAATGGCGAACTCATTCAAGTTTTAAGGTCAAGATTTTATTTATTTAGGAGTATGGTAAATTTCATGAACATGTAGAGTGATATAGTTCAGTATCAAGACTAACATCTGCAGCAGCACAGGTACGAAAAGAATCAGTTTTACAAACCTCATCATGACTACTTCTCTGACACTGTAAGTTTCTTTACCCTAGATTTGCAAGCATTAGTATGCCTTAGTTGCAGTCAGCTTAAATCCTTTCGTGTTAGCATTAAGAATCTAAATATTACTTCGGGTTTTGGTTAACAGTTTAACTTGAAACGCGGTGGTCAGCGAGTAGCAACAATTCTAATGTATCTAAGTGATAATGTTGAGGGTGGAGAAACATATTTCCCTATGGTAATTTGTCTTTATGATTTGATGCTCTTTTTTATGCGGTTGTTCTTGATATATCATATATGTAGGTTTCAGTGCTAAAAACAACACTTCTTTTACTTGGATAGATGAAAAAAAGAAAAAAAACAGGAGGCTAATTTACTTGCTACCTAATGGTTTCATGCTTCCAGAACTAGTGATAGCGGACATGGTTTTGGAGTGGAATATGGGGGGGACGGGAGCACTGGCGGAACTGTGGTGTTTCCTTTAGTGAAATTGGATCCACAACCAAGTCACCCATTTTTCTTAAATAAGTTGGTGACTAGGTGGTTTCAATATGATGTAGGATATGGGTGAATTGAGTATTTAGGTAGTTTAGCGGAAGAGAAAACAATGGAAAACAGAAAATAGAACAAAAGGAATAGATCTGGAATCACTCCAGGGGTTTGGCTTCACACCAAGTAGTCTCCAATCTCTGGAAAATAAGCTTTTCGTTATATCTCAACAACTCAACTCCATAATGAATTACATAGACTGGGTATTTATAATAATCTAACCCTAGAGTGAAAAGAAAAATTAAACTTATTCTAGGAAAGAAATCCTAATCCAAATAAAATAGGAAACTTAGAAATCCTACTGAAATCTGGAAAAACTAAAAATCCTAATGAAATCTGGAAAACTTAGAGAACCTAGGAACTAACAAATAAATTAGGAAACTAATTAATAATTCCCTCTTCCATCTCTTTCATTTGTAAACCCTAATGGGTTTGACAAAGATGTCCTCATCACAGTAGGTACATTTTTGTTATTGTTTCATTCCAGTATTACGCTTCAACATCATTAAATTCAGTAACTTATGAAATTTTAAGTGGTAAGAGTCCTGCAATTTAAGGGATTAAATTATAGGAATCCCACAATTTATTTGATTTTAAATATTTACCTACTCAACACGTAGACATGAAAACACACATCAGCCGTACGGGTATAACTGACATTTTGTTGATGTGTAGTTTTCCATTTGATGCATATATTAATGATGCATGGGCAATGGGTTTTGGTCATTGAATGAGGAGTAAGAGTCATTTAGAGTGTTTTGGAAGTCAAAGAGTCATTGAGAGCATCCACAATGGGCTCCCTAAACCACCTCCTTAGACAAATTTTAGGGAGGAATGATAAAAATACAACTCCAACCACGCTCCCTATCCACCTCCTAAAATAGGGAGTCCTCTAGGAGCTCCTAAATCTGAGGAGAGAGAAAGGACTCCTAGTGGCTTCCTATAATTTAATGTTGTTTTATTTAATGAGTATTTCAAATTTTTTTTTAATGCTAACCATTTTTTATTTTATTTTTTAATAGAGATGGACCAATCAAAAAAGAGTTATAGCATTTATGACTCTCCAAATTGGGGAGTATGGTTGGAGTTGAAATTTTTTAGAGAGCTCCTAAAATAGCTTTCTTATATTCTTAGCCAAATTTTAGCTAAGAAATAGAGAGCATCATTGTGGATGCTCTGAGAGGGTTAATAAGTGAGTTCTAGTAAATATAAATAGTCATTATTTGCTAAGAGGGTGCTTGAAGTCGCATTAAAGCTGCCTTTATAAAAAGAGATAGGACCTATGCAAAGCAAATAGATTTGAACAGTAAATTTTTAAGTATTTTAACTCAGATTCTAATAACTCTTATGCTTTGAGTTTTCTCCTTGGTTTTTCCTTTAAGAATTCCTGGCTTCAATGATATTTTGGAGTAAGACCACCCCCTATTTCTACAATCTTTAGGTTATACTTCTTTTAAATTTACATCACCGTTGATTTTTCTGTACCTGATTCGAGATTATATAGGCATAATTTTAGTGTACCTCACACTATCATCTTTTTCTTTTGTTACGTCAGGTACATAAAAATCACTGACAACCCATATAACAACTTTATTCTACACGTGACATTTAAATATATAATTAACCCAATCTTTAGTTCTCTTTCGATCCTCTTTTTCTTTCGTGGTCTTTCTTTCCACCCTTACCTATGCACATATTACCTGTTGAATTTTGCACTGCTCATCTGTGTTTTAATTTGTGTGTGATTTCAGGCTGGTTCAGGTGAATGTAGCTGTGGTGGAAAAGTTGTCAGAGGTTTGTCTGTAAAGCCAGTTAAAGGAGATGCAGTACTCTTTTGGAGCATGGTAGTTTCCTTAATTTGTTATCCTCTTTATAAAAAATTGGGTCTGCCTTCAGTCCCTTGATCATATTAGAGGATGTCCTTGTTTTGGCACATTGTTTAACTTGCCATCAGTGGCATGCAATGCATGCCATATGTACAAAAGTGTATTAGGGTATGCGCTCAAATTCATATGGCATGTCGTAGACGAAAGGAAATTGTAAAGATAGGATGATAAGACCGCACACATAAAATTGTAGAGGTTTTAGTGCCCATAATTTATTTATTTGTTTCTGAACCTGGATGCTTTAAATTTTGTTATTACAGGACATGATTGGTGATACTAGTAAGTACTGGTTCATGCTTGTCAACAATTAAGAAAATGATAGAAAATGAGTAGGGCTGCTTGTTTGCTCTGCTCTGAGTGTAATATATGCTCGTATAATCGGGCGAGTATCCGTGATTGTAATGCAGGTGGTAGTAATAGTCCTCTTAATTGTTCTGAAATGCTGGTTTCTGCTGTTTACTGACTAGGGAAATGAAAAGGGATATTTAAATATATATATAAATGATCAAAATATTATAATTTATAAGAATTGTTAAATGCCAGTTTAATTCGGTATATAAAATTGTATTACTGGTTGCATTATTGAAAACCAAATGATGGTTTGCCTTCAATGGTGATGAACTGTTCAATTTTGAATCCTATAGCTTTAAATGCAGTAGAGAGTGGTCTGGCTTCTAGGCATGTGATTTTATTTTTGCTTGCTTCTTTCAGGGCCTTGATGGACAATCAGATCCAAATAGCATACATGGAGGATGTGAGGTGCTATCCGGGGAAAAGTGGTCGGCTACAAAATGGATGAGGCAAAGAACTACCTCTTGATTTCTATAGCTTGCCCCCCTTATAAGAAATCTACGAATTTTATCGGGGGGGTTCATAACATAAGTAGCCTAGAGAGCCTGAATTCTTTAGATACAACAGATTCCTAAACCAAGATGAACATGAAGCATATCAGCTCATCCCAAATGCCACACATTGACAGCAGTGCCATACAATTCTAGGTAGTGGTGAGAAACAAATTTGGTCGATATCGACGATAGAAAGTGAAAAATGTAACAAATGATGTGTAATATATGCTGCAGAAAATAGCTATGGTGATGAGCTACATCTTTGTAACCAAATTGTCTTGTTACCAAAGAACGAAAATCCAAAATGCTTTTTATGAAAACCTTTCTTTACCTTTTATATCTTTGGCATATCTGTTTAAAGGTTGAGGTGTTCACATCTGTTTTTCAAGATTAACAAAATCTGACCTGATCTTAAACTAAGATTATGGAGAAGAGAACGACCAATTGCAAAAAACAAAAACTGAAGTTGGGGGTTGGCCATGTTTGTTACTCTGTAATGGAGTTAATAAATTTTCGAGATATATGAACAATTCTATTTTTAGCGTTTTCCTAGAAACACTTTTCAGAAATAATTTTATAGATATTTAGTTATATACTCATTCTTAGCACTAGTGATATAGATAAATCATACCCCATTTAATTTCTATAAACAAACTCAAAAAATGACAGTTGGCCATATTGAATTTAATTTTGATTATTAAAAGACTTTGATGGCATGTTGTGTGTTTTGAGTTTTTATATGAGGTTTTGGAATTGGGCTTGTTTTAAGAAATTGATGGCAATTGAAATTTATAGGAAATTCGAAGTCTTTTTATTATGTTGTAAATGGACTTTGAGTGTGTTTCTAAAATCCATTTCATGTAGGTTTTTTTTATTATAAATAATTTGAGCTCTTATATGGCATAATAGTATCCCTCATAATTTTATTAACATGTTCCGAACAACAATTGCTTTCTAATTTTTAGAGTACATATTTATTTGGGAGATTCACTATTATACCAAATATAGGAGTTCAAATTATAAATAAAAAAACCTTATATGAAATAGACTTTAAAAACACACCTAAAGTGTACAACATAACAAAAAGGCTTTTAATTTTTTTTAAATTACAAAACTGTCATTGATTTCTTAAAACAAACCCAACCCCAAAACCTCATAAAAAAACCCAAAACTCAATAGGGCATTAAAGTAATTTAATAATCAAAATTAAAATTCAATTGGGACAGCTGTCATTTTTTGGGTTTGTTTATAGAAATTAAATGGTGTAGGGTTTATTTATAGTTTTAATGCTAGGAATAGGTATATGACTAAATATCTCTATTTTTTTTTTTTTTTTTGGTTTGAACCACGAGGTGGTCCTGGATGGGCCCCAACTATGGGTGGCACCTTTAAGCCTTAACCACAACCCAGACTAATCCCCGCTCACACCGGGTCGGCCCGTAAGGGGTAAAGTGCTGGCCAAAGTGGTGACTCCATACGAGAGCAGGGATCGAACCCCTGACCTTCTCTTAAGGAATGAGAGTGCCGAACCACTCACACCAACCACCTTGGTTTAATATCTCTATTTATTTTGGGTTTTATCAAAACCGTCCTTATGGTATGAAACTATCATATAGTCCTTTGTTTTTTATTATATATATATTTTTGTCATGAATCACCCTTTCAAGTTAACTTCCACACAACAATTTTGTCCTTGCTGTTGGATATTGTTAAAAAATTTTGTGGGTTAATCATTTTATTAGTCCCTAAATTTAGACCCGATTTGAAATTGAGTACCTCAATTTCCAAAATGGTTCCCGTGGTCTTTTAACTTTAGTTTTGTTATGACAAATGGTCATACCGTCAATTTTGTTAACTTTTCTATTAAATGCAAGGGCAAAATGATATTTTTGTATCAAAATTGATTAAAATATGAATACAAAATAATAAAAAAACTAAAAAATTAAAATTAAACTCTCTCTCTCTCCCCCTCTATCCCGATTTCTACTCCCTCCAAACTTTATTTATTATTTTTTGTTGGTTTTTTATTTGATTTGATTTGGTTTTTATTTTAAAGATATAATTTTTTATTCATTTTTTTAGTTTTAATATAAAAATAACATTTTGCCCTGCATTTAATAGAAAAAGTTAACAAAATTGACGGCATGAGCATTTGTCCAAAAGAAACTAAAGTTAAAGGACCACGAGAACTATTTTGAAAATTGAGGTACTCAAATGTAAATCGGGTCAAAATTCAAGGACTAATAAAATTATTAACCCTAATTTTACTAGAAACCTCGACCTCCACACATGCTAGCCTATGCATGTGCTTATGAGGAATTTACTGTAGGAAGGCATTGTTTTTTGTTTTTTTTTGTTATAAAGACTAGTATGAAGTGGGAGGGAGAAAGTAAGTGTAAAATTGAGGTTGAATTACTAGAGTGCTCTTGGTTGTAAAAACGAATATAAAATGATAACAGGATTAACCCAATAAAAAATGGCTTTGATTTGCAAACCAATGATCTCAAATTTGAACTTTCATAACATTATAATAGTGTGCGTGTGTGAAACCCTCTCCCCTATAGACTATTGCTTGTATTAAGAAAAACAAATATTAAAACTAATTTGTTCAAAAGGACTATAGTTGACATTTTATCCTATTATCAAATAGTATAGATTTTCATTTTATACATTTTATCCTATTACCATATTTGGAAGTGCTTATGTACCAAGTACATCTGATCATACATGCCTTTACTGAAAAGCGCTTTTGGTTGAAATGCATTGAAATATTTATTAAAAAATTCAAGTAGGTTATGGAAAAAAAACAATTAAATTTAAAAGTGCTTCTTGAAAATATACCTTTTGGAACCTAAAAACACTTCGAACGTTTTTTGTCAAATATTTTTAGAAGCAATTTAGCCATTTTAAAAGTACCTTCTAGAAAATGACATAAAAGCACTTCCAAAAATGACATAAAAGCAGATTCAAACGGGTCATAAATTTACAGTTGAGAGAGCTCGTGAAAAGTGCATTGGAAAAGGAATGACTTCGGTTCCCTTTCTATTACGCGTCACCTTTTGTCTGGTGTCCGTCTACCGGTCTTGGCATCACGTCACGCCGTTGGTGGACAAATAAAATTATATATTTCGCCATTTCCAACTTTCTTTTTTCCTTAGGAGCAAAGAAAAAAGAAGAAAGAAAGAAAAAAGAAAAAGAAAAAACAATAGAAAAAGAAGTAAAAAAAAAAAAAAAGCCAAATTTT